TACTTTCCACCTCTGGTATTTTCTCTGTGTAATTACTTGTGAAAATGAAAATAACAAGGGACCACAAAGACACAGAGAGGGCAGGACATTCAGGTGTGTACTGATCTGTGGAAATGCCAACCGTGGTGTCAGCCAGCCATCTCACACATACATTCATGCGGCTGGCTGTTGTTCACTGTGAGTCTAATTACAAGTTTCTGTTGAAAAGGGAGAAGACTGTTGTCTCTCTTTACTCCTGCATTGCGTCCTCATTTCCTCTGTCACTAACTAAATAAATAACCCAAAGTAGACGAGACATCTGCCCTCTCTCCCTCTTTCTACTGGACAGTTGTTGAGGAATCAGGAAAGAGAAAAAGGGCACAAAGTGAAAGTGAGGTGTGTTTTTACCTGTTTTGGTGCTGTTTTACTGTCTGTCTTTTTACATATTACAGACAAAGCTAACCACACTAACAACTGTGTGTATCTATTAGTTGCCCCTACATGTGCAGTCTTTTGCAACATTGCCATTACGAAGCCTCACAATTTCATCACAATCACCCTTCGTCTCCACTCATCATCCCCATCCATCTGTTTGTCCCTCATTTAGTCACACCTGATAGATTCTTCCCCTCTTCATGAATTAGACTGAAAGGATTTGCAGGTGAATCGTGTTCCCAAACGCACCTGTTTGACCTCATATTGAAATGAACAACTATGTCTCTTGCATTGAGTTAAACAAGCTTAGCTAGTCTCAGAATGTGCTCGATAATCAAAAGTAGAATTAGTCAAATTATCAAATGGTCCCTTTTAACTAAGTTATCCCTATGGGAATAAACTAAATTTACTGGGATTGTGGAGAGCATTGGATTGTCATGCTTACAAAATGTCAAAATAGTTTGTGTTGCTTTTCCCCAGTTGGAGAAACATCTTTGCCTGGTGTCATGAAATAAATACAAATTCAACATGTCCATGATTTCATTCTTTCAAAGCTTGACAGGTGTATTGGGGAAAACAAAGTTTTTTTGTATAAAAGATGTACTTATATATGCTCTCGAATTGATCATCTGTGTGCCAAACAGGGGCAGCGCCACAAAGACATGCAAAACAACCACAAACTTACAACAATATCCAGTGTCAACTAAACACTAAAGTTCATCTTTGTTTTTCAACCAATAGCAACATGTGAGACGCAAAGTGACCACAAAGAGATAGCAAAACAACTACAAATGAATAGTAGCTATTTGATATAGTTTCATATTAGAATACTTACATTTATTTATTTTATTAATTTATTACACTGAATAAACTATGTAACTACTGATTGCATAGTTTTTTTTTTAACAACCAGGGCTTTAAATGTGAATCACACATATTTTTACTTATGGTGTCCTGGTCTGCCTCCAAATTCAAAGGCTTCTAAACTCGCCCCTGTGCACAAATTTGTAATCTTGATTTTGCTAATTCATTGCACAAATTATACAAATGAGCAGAACATAATGTCAAACAACATTTGACATTTTAAAACATCCCTTAAATGTTGTAAAATGTCAAATATAACACATCCTAATTGTCAAAAACAAAAGTATATCTCTGTCCAAAATCAAACCAACCTGTGTTAAACTCCAGCTCATTTAGATTAGATTTTCCATGGCCTGACAACTTTCACTGTTTATTTAGCACTACATTAGACTACATGGCTATGCACACAACTGATAACTGCGCTTCTGAAACACCAAACTGTATAAAAACAAGAGTAGAGAGGAAAATTGTCTTTTGATTCTATTCATTTTACTTCACTTCACTTACCCACCACATAGATCTCTTTTGAACTGACATGCTCTAATGCCCAGGCCACACCGCCTACCTGAGCAGCGCAGTGCGGAACCACTTTTCATTTCACGTTAACAGGTTAGATCAGCCACGCGTCTGCAGCAGCACCTCATCTAGAGATTTCATGTGGTTATTATTTATTTTGTTCAATAGAGCACACACACACACACACACACACTTCTAAACCTTTTTCTGCCTAAACTAAATATAAATGAAATGTATTCTGAAATTAAACATTCTAATATTGATTTCCATTATCAAAGGCAAACTTAATGTAAGATAGGGCTGGCAGTAGCAGCGACTTGTCTGTGTGGACACTACATTTGCGAGCCACGGCAGTTCACAGGCACAGGTAGAAGTAGGAAGTGTAGCCTAATTCTATGTTGCTATCTTTAATGTGGATTAGTTTTCCATTGTTTTACTGTTTCTTTCTAGTTTCTGTGAAGACGCATGTAAACGTCTGAGGATGTATGAATAGAGTGGTGCTTCCTGTCAGCAGGTGAGTTTGAAACAGATAGATGTTAACGTCTATGAAGATTCTCAGTCATCCAGGTCATAGTTATCCAACGAAGGTTAAAATCAAGGGCAACTGAACTTGGTTGAAGATACTGGAAGACGTTTCGTCCCTCATCCAAAGGACTTCTTCAGTTCTGACTGACTGGCAGGGAAACTCAGCTATTTAACCTCAGTGGGGTCGTTATCCCGGGTCATCGATACCGCTGGTTCGTTAGTGTTCCTTGTTGCTGTGACGACAGTCGTTACAGTCGTTGAGACTACCTGTGGCCAAGACTGAACGACCATCGTTGGTATCTTCACCTGAGGCCAATAGGTTACGTTTGTTGAGTTTCCTGGGAAGTGATGAAAGGACAGCATTGTAAGTGGGGGATAAGTGGTGGCGTAGACCCCCTCCCCTGTTCAATGACGGCTTCTCAACCCTGGTGTAGATGCTTCCTTGACACCTCTTTCAAACCATCCATCTTCTCTGTCTAAAATGTGCACCTGGTGGTCCTCAAACGAGTGTCCTCTGTCCTTCAGATGTAAGTAGACTGCAGAGTCTTGACCTGAGTAGCTGAGTTTCCCTGCCAGTCAGTCAGAACTGAAGAAGTCCTTTGGATGAGGGACGAAACGTCTTCCAGTATCTTCAACCAAGTCCAGTTGCCCTTTATTTTAACCTTCGTTGGTCATGTTAACGTTTAGAAAGAGAGGCATGTTCCAGCCTCTACTAGTTTCTCATTCAACTAAAATGGACTTTGTACTTCAACAACCTGCATGAAAATGCTAAACAAATGGAGCATAGCATTAAAGTCACAGTTGCATTCGTTGCTTCATGATTCACCAGTAGCTAATTTTTCTGCTGCTTCACTACTAGCTGACTATCAACGTCCAATCCTATTCATGGAGGTGCACAGTGTGGACATTTTAACCCGACGCTTCTTACTATCACTCTGCTGAGACGCTCAGACCAACAGCGTTAGCTGCAGAAGCTCTTTCCACCCCAACTTTATGCTTTATGGCACTGATTTAACAAAGATTAAATGTTTGTGTGTGTCCATTACTTCTCCCAGAATCTGTTTTTGCTGCTTGGATTTTTTCAGAGCTCCCACATCTATATAAATAAAGATTTGAGCGCTTCGATGCTTGTGTTTGTATTTGGTGGGCTGGCTAAGAGACTGGGCCAAACAGGAGCAGTTGGGACTGTTTCTTCTTCTTCAGAGTTCAAATTTCTGAAAGCTGACTGGAGAAGTGAAGCAGTGCCTCAGTCTACGTCAGTGTTCGGCCTTGAAGCAGCGTGCCGCTTCAAATGCTAATTGTCATGTCTTTGCTAGGGATGCTCACAGGAAAGGGTGACAAATGATGCAATTAATCCTGAGTGACACCAGCTGTGTCAGTCACAGGCGAGCAGACGAGGAGTGCCAGAGCTTACTTGCCTGGAATGAACCTGTCGCATAACTTGAAACACTTCAAAACAAAGAGAATTCATATTTCCGGTGTAATCAATATGCTTTAATACCGAATTTGAGATGGAAAACGTCCTCGTGAAGGACAAGCTGTTCCAGTGGCTGACTTTTTTTTTCTGAGGCACTGAAGGGAGGATAATGGATGAATCTCCTCTGCTTCAGTTAGCTCACCTTATACCTGAGCCGCAGACATGAAACAGGTTGACCAATCAGCTCCTTTAATCCAGACATCTCCTCGCTTGATTAGTTCCCTTGATTGTTTGGGCTGCTCTGCCACATGAAAGATTGTAATTTGATAACAGGAAGCAAATGTGCTCGCCATGCTGTTGATTACAGATCCGCAACAATCAGCTGCAGTGAGCTTTACATGCAGGTGTGGAGGATGCATGGATTATGTTCAGTATATATATATATATATATATATAATGTACTGTAAGATTCTGATCTCTCATGAAAGCAAACATTTCTGAAGTATTTCTGATGTATAATATAATGTGTAACAGGATGACAAGGGAACCTTTCAGCCCAGAATGATTCTAAGTGAAATGTAAAAATCTTCTGCATCCCTGTGACATTTGAATTTGTCCAGTACTGTAAAATTCACTGTCCATCAAACTCAAACCTTAGAACCTTTTTAAATTTAATCCTAAATGTCTTGACATGACTCACTGAGGACCGCTTCTGATGGCAACCAATTGAAATGGCCTACACTGAGAGAGTGATTTCTAATTCTAATGTGTTTTGTGTGTTTTATTCAGGGGTGTAAAGACTGTTTTCCAAGAGTAAAAATCAGGATGGAGTGAGTAAATGGACTGCATTTATCTAGTGCTTTTCAAGTCTACCGACCACTCAAAGCACTTTACAACTCATGCCAACATTCAGACATTCATAAAATACACCAAAAAAACACCATAAAAATGACTCAAGTACAGAGAATGGAGAAAATGGTTCACCTTTGTACACACACGTTTTGGTTTTGTCACACTGTCCTGACTCAAATTAATTCTCTGGAGGGTTATCCTGACCTACACCATAACCACTACATACCCAAAACCAACCTTTTCTCTAACCTTAGTCAAAGTTTAATTCTATTCTTTACTTTAAAACCAATCTTAAGACTAAAGGTTAACCTTGTGGGCACAATGTTTGTCCCCAAATGTAGCATGTGGGAAGAGTCCCACTTCCCACTTTGTAAGTATGTGTTTAAATCAGTGTTAAATAAAAGACACAGACCTGTCTTGGCGGAGTGGTTGTTCTCCTCCCGTTTGAGGATCTGGTTGCATTCTTCCTGAGCCTTCATGAGCTGGACCACCACGGCGCAGTCTGGGTGGATGGCCTCTGTCTAAGAACAGATAATGGCAGAGTTGAGTTGCACTAATTATGATACAAGGTTTAGCAGGGAGCTACGTTAGCGGTGTTTACACTGACATGACACATGTCTGCAGGAATCACCGGATGAAAGACGTCTCAGCCAAACGTGACGCAACAATATTAATGTAAGACTTAAATATTTTATACAACAATACAACCTACAGTCCACTATTTAGGATGAGATTAACGAATAAATTAAAGTCTTGTGACACAAGTTAGCTAATTTAAATACAATTTAACAAAAATACCAAGAAACTATGACCAATATAAACAAGTACCTTTTACTTTCATTTGGTTGATACATAAGTAAGACAGGCACTATTTTTAAGAGCTGCCCAAAGCTGTTAAAATATTGAATGAATTAATCATTTTTAGTGTTCAACATTCACCCTGTCTGAACTCTCTGTGCTACTATTCATCACATTATCATGCCACTAAAGTCTGTTTAGAACACAGCCATCCAGTAGTACTTTATGTAGCTTCACACATTAAGATCAACACACTAATGCATGGAAAATCAGATACACTTTGGTAGCTGGCACATAATTCACCTTTTGCAAGTGTGGCTGATTCACAAATTCAGCTACTGTTAAAGCATCTAAATGATTCAGCAAAATATTGCTTTATAAGCATTCACACTAAACAACCAAATGAAAACAGGGATTCAAACATAATGCAGAATACAGAAAGTTGTGCATTTCATCAAGTGATCACTTAAAAATGTATTCAACAGAATAATGGAGGCAACCTGTGCTTTGGGCGTTTGGGAGTTTTGTATTTTCTGTTTTTTTACAGAGGTCACCAGGGGTCTGTTCAGTGACACAAACAGCTATTTAATGCAGAAAGGGCATTTAAGTGACATTGTGATTGCATTAAAAGGTTTAAAACCCTTTTATGATCAATGTTGTTTAATAGATAGATAGCAAGTAAGCAGTTTGAGTATCAATGTGTCCATTACTGACGTATTGATCTGTCCATCTTTTAACGTTTTGCTCTGTCTGTCCAATGTTTATGTGAGTTTAATCTAATACACATCGTTGCCCTACCTTTCACCCCACTTGAAAACCCAGAGGGTGTTAGCGGTTCCCCTCTAGTGATGAACCTCTATACGGTAATCAGCACTCCTGACAGCTGAAACGTGGGAGTTCAGTGACTTCCTCTTAAAATCCTGACATCTACTGTCAAAGCTCCTCTGCCTTGTTGCCCTGCTTTTCGCGCCTTCTGAAGAACATGAAGAGGAGGAGGACAGAAACGTACAGAAATGTATAATCCTATAATAATCCAAGAAGGTTGTATAAATTCACATATGCCAAGAAAATATAGATTCCAGGAGTATCTCCACCCTGCAGTCAAATTATTTTTGTGCAATCATGTCACAAATCTGTTTTGCTGTCATTGGAGAACTAAACCCTATAATTGCTTTGAAGGCTTGTAAGGGCTTTCTGTGTGGAGTTTGCATGTTCTCCCTGTGTCTGCGTGTGTTTTCTCAGGGTGCTCCAGTTTTCCCCACCATCAAAAACATGTTAGGCAGGTTCTCCAGTCATGGCATCTCAATCTGGAGTTTGTCCCCGTGGCTGTCCCTTCAAGCGATGGGTTGAATGCAGAGGATGAATTTCGCAACGTGTATGTGACAATAAAGTACGTTCTTGTTCTTCTCTAAGTGATTTCGGTGAATGTGCTTGCTTTAAATGTGTGGCCCATCACAGGTAGAACACCTGCCTGTTGGTTGAACATATGGAGACGCTGCAGGTGAGCGTGACATTTGACCTTATCCTCTCACAGTGCTGCAGTGTCCAGGATTAACGCAAGAGGAGATGCTCACTGCTCACGCTGAACAGAACACCACCTGGTCTGTTGCAGGGTATCTTTCCCTATAGCTGTCAAGTTATTGCTGTCTGACTGTCAATATGTGTGTGTCCACAGTGTGTATATGTGTTTTTCCTTCATTGAACCAGTTGTTGAGATACTACTGACGTAAATAGGAGTTCTTTCTTGTTCTGGGAGTCTCTGAGTCAAAACTAAGCAAAAAGAAAGAGAAAAAGAGAATTATTTGATCAAATAAAATGTCCCTCTGTCTTATTTCAACCCTGTCTTCTAAAAATAACATTTATGTACTATAAATTGTTTTGACAAATATGTTCAAACAAAGCTCAGTAACTGCACCTACGAAAAAGGTTTGCATCCTTGGTCCCAGACGTGGTTGGGTTTAGACTTCTAAAACACTTTGAGGTGAAGTTAGGGGAAGTTTTGTGATTTTTTTTTTTTGTGATTATGCTCAAAATTATTATCTCAAAATGCTAATGAAGTGGGTGGAGTTGGCCGTCTTGTCAATAATACAGCGCACATCCCTGCAGCATGGACATATTTTAACCTTTGCCGAAGGAGGACATTTTTTCTTGAGATAACAAGAAAAGGCCGAGGTTGCTGACCTTTCAACATGTTGGATGGGTGGATTTTAGCCATGCTAGTGGCATGTTACTAAGAATGTCAATGTTGGTCTGTCGGCGGGTCCCACAGTTGGATAAATCCCCCAGTTTCCTACACAACACAGACCTACAAAGCTTGGATTAGACTGTATCAGCAAAATGAATGCCTCCCTATTTTCCAGCAGTTCTAAATGAAATACACTCATTTTCTATTTTAAAGATTATCTGATAAATCCGCAGTACCCCCTAAACACATGTGAAAAGGCTAAATATTTATACAATTTATTTAAACTGGGTGGCCCATAAACTCATCATCTAACCATTAATAGTTTATACAGCAGCAACAAATGCCTCTGTGTAGCTGGAAAAAATGTATCTGGCAGCACAGCCTCACCATGACACAGTCATATCAACCCTGCAGGTTTATGGAACAAACCTCGTTTATACAAGCAAGATAGTAGCACAGCTTGCTGTCTTATGAAGCAACACAATGTGTAATTTTACAGTTTAGTGATGTGCAGAGAATCCGATGAGGTGCAGAGCACGGCAGATGTTTTCCCAAGACGCAGAATATTAAATCAGATTGGGGTGTGTGTGTGTGTGTGTGTTGGAGGATGGAGGGGTGGCATTTGAGGATGCCCTGTAATTATTGTAACCCTCGATCTTAAATGGCAACAGTTTAGGTGGTTGCAATGTAATTTAAATTCAATCAGTGTCTTAACTGGGTGATTACAGTTGCCTCTGGCCAAGCTACCATCATTTTATATTTCACAGTAACACAAAGGACAGGTAATCACCAGGTCTCTGGTGCCATTAGAGAGTGTGTGTGTGTGTGTGTGTCCCTTTTTAATGTTTTCAATATACCTCTTACCTCCAGTCAAGTAATTATTAGTATTCCTTCTCATTTCTATGCTGATGATACGCAGGTACATTGAATCCATCAGACCTCCTACAGCAAACTAGAAAGTTTCCCATATCCACTTAATTATCTCAACATCTACCTGATAGATTGACACAAACTCTTGTGCAGACATTCATGTTTCTCAGATGATGATTTTGAATGACGTTGGTGATCACCTGACTTCTCCTGTAGAGTCACCATAATGTTCACATTTGAAGCTTTAAGTGAAATTTCTCAACAACTGTTAGATGGATTACCATTAAATTTGGCTCAGACATTCATGTCCCCTTCAGGATGAATTGTAATGAATGTTATGATCCTTATGATTTTTCAATTAAAAAAACGAATGACATTCCCCTCAGCAGACTAAGATGGTGAGCATGGTAAACACTATACCCGCTATCTGTCCTTGCACAGCTTCACAGAGCTTTTAGGATGGCTGTAGACTCTTAGTGTTGTTGAGTTGTGCCCCTTTGAAGGGAGCAGCTTCGTGTGTTCCTTTGCCACAGCTTGCATGTTGTATGTGTATTAGTTGTAAGCAGTTCCACCAAAGAGTCATTTTTATCTTTGTCCAAATTTATCATTTGAAGAATTAATGATTAGATAAAGCAATTTATAAATGTATGCAACATAACTCTTGTCTTTTTCCTATGCCAAAACTCAACTGCACTACACAACTCCCCCTCCCTGACTCCTGCCTGTGATGCCTCATGGGTGTTTTTGGTTATTTCTGTCTTTTGGGTTGATGTGGTGTGTTGGTCTGTCTGTGTTCTCCCTCTCTCCATTTATGGTTGCGGGTGGTTTCCTTTGGCTCGCCTCGCTTGGCCCAATGCACACCTGTCTGCTATCAGCCATCAGCGCACCTGGTCTGCATCTACTCCACACTACAAGAAACCAGTGCTGATAATTCCTTCAGCCAGTACGTAAGGTGCTGCGTTTCAGCTTTGCAGCTTAAAGTCTAGTTGCCTATAGTTACTTGCTCATCGTGCCTGCCTGCATAACTAACGTAGGCATACTCTGCCTTCAGAATCACCGGCTACCTGACTTCCTCTCCAGCCGGCTGAGCTCTGTCTGATATCTTCCCCATTACCCCAGCCACTCACTCTAGCCAGCCACCATCTCATCTCACCTGCCTGTTCTTTCAATAAAAGACTTTAATTACAAACCTGCCAGTCTCAAGTCTACTCTTGAGTTCTACCTCAATCTCTGACATCAACTACCACAAAAACAACCCTTTCAATAAATCGATCTCCCTTCAAATGTATCTGAACTTTTTTTTGCAGCATAACCTAGTCAACCTTAACTGTCAGCTTAGGAGCATCTCTTAAAATTGCATCATTATTTTCATTTCCAGAAACCCTACCTGACATTGTTTCTAGAAACAGGATTACTGTGGCTCATTATTTGCCCCAAAAATCAATTAACTGCCTTCCGTTTGAACAAAATACAGCCACCAGGAAAGGTAACTCAGTGAATCTAGAAACACTGGAGCACATTTCCTCCACTTTGACCTTTCTGCACTGGTCACCTGTGGCATTTAGGATTGATTTTAAGGTTTTTAGGGCTTGTTTTTAAGGCAGAGACACGAGTTGCCTCAGGCTGGAGACAGTAATTTGACGTCAGGGCTCAAAAGCTCTGGAATAGTCTCCTAAAATCAGTAGAGAAACCTGAGTGTCCTTCCATTAAATGTGTATAAAGGTGAATGTAATTACATACATTCAGTTAAGTACTGTACTTCAGTAGATGAGGTACTTTAGTATTATCATTTTTGCTTTATGCACATTTGAGGACAATTTTACAGATTAGGGTATGTATACAGTTGCCCCACCTCCCATCAAATATAACAGTATCTCACACGGGCAATGTTATTTATGTACTCAAATGTGCCATGTTTACATTCAGTGCCAAATGATAGACATGCCAAGAGCATGCCAAACCACCAGGCGGTGATATGACCCTTACCGTAAAGCCAGGTTGGCCAATCACAGCCTAATAAAATCGTAAACATAACAGGCAGTTGTGTCAGTGCCAAATCTTTCGTCAAAAACGCCTGCCGGATCCGTTCTGCACATGCACAAAAGTGAGTCAAAAAGGTCACCGCAAATCTGCCTATTCAAAATGATCTAACTAAATCTTTCAAATCAAGATAACAAAATGTTTTTTTAATCAGTAGGATACAATGTCAAACAAGATCAAGACAAATGACATATTTTAGGAGTATACGTGTGCACAATAAATCATTTCTGCCATGATAAATTAATTTACAGTGATACAGCAGGTTAATGCATTAGACGTCCCCCCTGCTGTCATTGATAACAAAAGTGATCTATTGTGAAAACACAGAGAGAATAGAATGAGCACCTTCAGTCTTGATATCAATCAGAATTGCAGCAGAGTCTGAAGGAAGTAGCTAATAAAGGATGGGACAACTCATCATTAGTCTTTAGGATGGTAAATGGACTGTGTATATATTATATAATACCTTTCTAGTCTTCTAACTGCTCAAAGAGCTTTTTCAATACATGTCACATTCAGCCCATTCACACACATTATTACACTGTAGTACAAGTAGTGATGTGCGGATCGATCCTAAAGTATCAATATTTCTGATACCAACTTTTCCTGGTCTAGGATCGATACTTATATAAAAGGATCGATATCTAAACTCAGTCATTTGGAGTGAGTATGTGTTTTCTCATAAGTATCTTACTGTCACCAGGATGGTCTAATTATACTCGGAACTACTTTTCCTTCCGCTTGTCAAAGTCATGCTTGCACTATGGCTCTGTGACAGAGCCCTTCACATTTACATTTCCCACCATTGAATACTGACTCTGGCTGACTGTAAAAACAGTCACGTCTGGCTGTATTTTAGCTGTGAAGGTAATAATGTTGCTCTGTGTAATGTGTGCACAAAGACAGTGAAATACTTTGGCAATACCGCAAATGTCACTAAACATCTGAGATTAAGGCTGTTACAATAACAGGATAATGTTATGAAGCGGCAGTTCTGAGCAGGATATTTTCATTATAATTAAAGAATACATCTGTCGTTTGATGTCTTGTCATTATGCAGCTATTATTTTGAATTGGTAAGGCTACGGCCTACTCCCTTATTTCTCTCAAACACAGAAACGGGAGGGGGAGGTCACATTAAACTAGACATAAAATATGTAAAAAGTATCGGTACCTGCAATACCAGCCTGGGTATTACTTGGTATCGGACAGGAATTAAGTGGTATCACACATCACTAATGCAAAGTGCAGAATGCACATCAGAAAGGTACTAATCATTCACATACATTCATACATTGATGATGCAGCCTTCAGGAGACAATATCTTGCCCAAGGACACTTCGACATGCAGATTGGAGGAGCAAACCACAGCCTTCTGATTAGTCTGCGACCTGCTCTACCTCCTGCCCCTCAGGACCAGGAAACATATGTCACAAAATCAAATCCTCCATCATAATTTGGACTCTGATGAACCCACAGATGAACACACAGCATTCAATCCAAGTTCAAACGAGGATAAAAAAAATAATAAAAATAGAATAAGAATATTCTTCACCCTGAATTGTCTTCAAAGTATGAAATTCAAACTGGGCATACGTGCATATGCACAAGGAGAAAATATTCATGATTTCTCTTTGCTGTTGTCTTTCTGGAGCCAAAGGCAGCAGAGTCAAGTGAGTGTCCAGTGTTAATGGAGCCACAGAGGACCCCACTGGATCTTTTCTTTTATTTATTGAATATTTATTTGAGGTACGGCTATGTGTGCAGTTTTTCATCACTGGTTGGTCCTGTTGAAAGCTCAATGTTTCTCTCGATTCATGTTTCATTTATCAAATGTTATGACTTTTCTTATTAGGGCAGCAAAAAATAGCAAAACGCAAAAGTCAAGCTGATTTGGCAAAAGTCTGGAATATCAAACCACCACACAGAATAGCCAATAATGAGGTTCAATATAAAACATCCATCATTAAATCATGTGATCATCAGGGACTTGACATCACTCATGACACATTAGTCATCCAACAGGTAATTATTATTATCATGTCAGACAACATGGGGCAGCTTTTAAAAGCATTTCCACCTTTAAAAACATTTTTAACTTTGGCATAGATGTGCAATAAGTTAAACGCGACAACTTTATTTTTCGGGAACTGAATCTGCAACTCACCAACACAATAAAATATATCGAAATCTATATCTAAATTATAAAAATAGTAGGCTACACAATTGTTTAAAAATGCTTATGGGATTAAATCTATAACAGTTATATAATCTATCTGAAACCCTTCTCCTTTTTATTCCACCATGAACCCTAAAGGAGGACATAGAATACAAGAATGAAGGAAATGACAAGTAAACAAACAAATATTTGTTATATATTATATTTTTCTGGTTGTCAAAGCTAAGACAAAATAATATGTAATAATACTTGTCACCTTGATCTCCTATCAGATCTTTAAAATGTAGACTATTCATGCAGGGCCAAGCAAAAAAGCTCTTTTTCAAAAATAAAATCAGTCTTAACCAGAACACGTAGGCTACATTATCTTGTTCATTATCATTATCACGTGTTATCATAAACCTCATCATGCCAATCCTGAAGATAATAGCCATAATGTTGCGAGTGAACTCACCGATTCCCACACCACCAGCTGCAGGAACAGACCCAAGTGAAGTAATGTGGCCATCCATTTCAACCACGAGCTTCCAGAGATGAACATACTGTGTAATAACATTTTTAAGGTTTGTTCACTTTGCACTGCGCAGAAAAAAAGTAAAAATATATGTCCAGGGACAATATCAGTCTTCGAGAATAAGAAATTATTTCCTTATTAAATTTCCAGACCTGGAAACAATCCATGAACTGAGCCGCCTGTTGGCTGTTTGCCGATATGAATGTTGTCCGGTGCTGGAGAAAGTCCGCATTACGCGCGGAGGAGAACCATGGGGACTCGACTGAGCCAAACAAGGTGCGCTGCTCCCTGAAAAGGCAGAGAGGGAGCGGAGCGCAAAGACGCAGCAGCGGCGCAGAACAGAGCGCTGACACATGAGAGAGGAGAGGATCTGGAGTAAATCTTTACCTGCGCGCACAGCACGTACCTATGTTTACATTTCGACAGCATCATTTCCACTGTATCGTGTATGCAGATTACATTCCCAACTGAACTGCCTGTGCATAGGGCCACTGCAATTCAGCAATGTGCAATATGAGAAATATGTCAGGTGCTAATAAAAGGTTTGGTTACTGTATTGCTTCACATTGTTTTACAGATATAGTAATCCACACACTTTGTATTGTTTATTTGTATATTTAGATAAAATGTTTTAGCTCAGACTTTTTTAACTTTTAATTGTTTGTTAGGTAGGAATGCACCATCAGGAATGCAAAAAATGTTGTTGTACTCTGTGCAATGACAATGAAGGACTCTGAATTTGCTCTAAATTATACAAGGTTGTTTGCTTCATACAGCAGAAGGCTGCATAACACCACATAATTTGTAGTTCCTTCTTGCTACCCACACAACATAATTAAGTGTATATTAAAATATGGTAACAAATAGGTCTAAATAAAAGAAATATATACATACATGTGAAGAACATTCAGCAGTGCATTTTTTGAATTTCCATCTGAAGTGAATGTAAACAGCAGCAACAAGATGACGATAATATGATTTCATATTCCAATAAAAAGTCTGATATTTGGGAAACAGTCCATCTTGACTGCGTTTGAACACCAAGCATCATCGATGTAAAACAGGAGTGCGCCTCCTCATCTTGCCAGAGTCTTGAGTTGACTGCTGGGAACGTGGACAGATCTCTGTATAATCAAAATTTATGTTGTGTTACACACAACGTAACACAACATACATTTTTGTTAAATGTAACCATATCAGATGCTAAACTAAACCCCAGAACCTCTATAATGAGGTGCGGATGAAAGCTCCAGAAAAAATCTAGTAAATGGACCATGAGTCAAGATTCATTCTGGATCAACAAATGATATTTTGTTATGCAAATATGTTTGAAGCACTAAATTTTTCACATACTACTAATATTCAAATCCACATGAAAACGTTGAAAACAAAACATGACTATTGAAAAGAACGGGATGAAAGTGAGTCTACGTAACTTTTTAAAAAGAGACAAGTTGAATTACTTGTTGAATCAAATCCACTCAGTGGTTTTAAAGCAGCTTTTATTGGTCTGGTTTAAGTTTATGGTGGTTGATGTTAGCAAACTTTGCAACTTCTCTCTCTCTCTCTCTCTCTCTCTCTCTCTCTTAATTGTTAGATGATATTTGGTGTGGTTTTGTTTTCTTTTGTGCAGTCTATTCTGACCTTTCACAGACTACATTTGTCACAGATAAGATGATATTCACTGTATTTCTAACTGCATACATTTTCTTTGAAAAGACGCAGAGTATAGGAATGAATTCTGGTAGATTGGATAATGCCTGCTGTGTGTGTGTGGTGTGTTCTGTCCTGTGGTACAGTAGGCATGCCCTTGCAGTTATGTTTAATTGCTCAGTCAATACACACTTCATACAAACAGTTAGAATAAACATGCAGTGCAGGTTGCACAGAGCAGCAGTGTGTGTGTTTGTGTGCGGCCTCTTGTCTGTTTGTCCAAATCTGTTCCTTGTGGATTGGTGCTGGCTTTGAAACAGCATTCCTGCGTGTGCATCTGCGTGCAAGCGTGCGTGCACGTGTGCACCTTGCAGAGGTTGATGTATGACAGACGCTGCCTTTGGCTTTTCCACCAGACCACCAACAATGAATGTCCTGCAGACAGCAGCACCTGTGAGCACAAAGAAGAGTGGGGTGGTTCTAATACGGGGCTGCAACATGTCCTCACACCTAAGTGTCAAAATATTCATCCATCCATCGTCAACCGCTTATCCTGTGTACAGGTCACGGGGCTGGAGTCAAACCCACGACAAATATGTTGATTGTAAATTGTCCCAAAACGACATGTACGATTGTTGGAAGTATGGGTTTTAAGTCATATGGAGTTAACTGTTGTCTGCTGTCGTAGTTTGGTTAGGTTTAGGCAACAAAACGTTTAGCAAAAACTTTTTTGGGGTTAAAATAAGTATATTATGTAAATCAAGTGACATAATTACTGTAATCAGAAGGAGCTTTATTGCCAAGTAGTGTATCCATACAAGGAATTTGCTTTGGTGATAAGGTGCAACACGCAGACAGACATACAGCTGACATAAATAGATGTCTAAATATATAAATATGGAAAAAACAAATGCAAGTTATATACTGTAAAAATAATAGAAGAATAGAGAAAAGTAATTCAACTATTTGCAGAAAAAGAACAATGTGGCAGATATTTACATGTGCATTACTCTGGTTTGTGTTGTGCAGACATATTGTAACAGAAGAGGATGTTGTGTGCATAAATGTATAAATTGACAATATAAAAAAACCCAATAAAATAACAATTAACAACATATGTGCAATGTGCCAGGTTCATGCATGATATGAAATGAGGTGATATTTACATGTGCAGAAACGATTGGATTATTTGAGGGGGGAGTGTCAGTGGGGGACCCGGGCCTTGTTGATGAGTCTAGCTGCAGACGGGAAGAAGCTGTTTTTGTGGCGAGACGTTTTGGTCCTGATGGACCGCAGCCTCTTGCCAGAGGGGAGAGTCTGAAACAGTTTGTGTCCGGGGTGGGAGGGGTCAGCTACAATCTTTCCTGCTCGCCTCAGAGTCCTGGAGGCGTAGAGGTCCTCAAGAGATGGAAGATTGCAGCCAATCACCTTCTCTGCACGTAGGCTAACGTTATTTAACTTTAAATAAGTCAACTTTGACTTTCTTCTACATGGGAAGCAAAACTCTGTTTTCTGAGTGAAAGTCGTGTTTATTTTTTGACCCACCCCCGTTGACTTTGTCAATCTTTATATTTCGTCACCTGACTACCTCCTTTAATACTGTCATGCGACCACTACAATAAATGTAAATATGGGCCGTAATATGCTGTTGCACAATCGACCTATATAGCAGTTTTTCTGGTGTGGACAAGTGGGGGATTAGGCACTTTACGTATGTTTGTGCTTAATGAATATTGCAAGGCTGCATTCTGGAGCCTGAACAAGGCTCACAATAAAGCAGCAGTTTGTTCTCAATAGATGTGTGTGTTTATGTGTTTGCTATGCCTTTATCATGTTGGGACAAAAATCAGTTCTATCCTCCAATCTAAGAGCAAACGTCCCAAAAGATAAACCTCTTTTTTTTTATGATTAGGGCACCAACTATCATACCTAAATGACAAAACAGGCTTTTTGTCATTGATTTTTGGCCCTTGCCTATTGATCCAAAAAGGATTCATATGCGCATTGGTTATGGTAAGATTATCTCCATGCTTCAGCCTTAAAATATTCCCAATGATTCTTGAAAATGAGTTTAAATCACTCCCTTATTCATGCATTCACCATGTCCTACTCCTCTACTACTACATAGAGATCAAATTAAGCTTAAATAGATTCAGGCACTTGTGTCATTATTTTCTGCCATCAATAACATTCATAGAATGAAGCTTTGCATTGGGTGGTTTTTAGTAGTATACAAACTATAGACATTATGGACATTTTTCAGGGCACTATAAAACATACATTTTAGACTTTTAGACACTTAAAGAACTAATAAATAACACTTGTAGAGGTGAGGCTGACCATATCATTAACTCTGTTTCACCATCTAATTCTATATAACCCTGACCCTTTCAACAAGTGACCACACTCACGCTAAGATAATAATAATACTAAGATGCAAGAAGGCAAACACATCTTTTGATTGATCGCAATGGATAAGACACATGCCTTTGGTGTGAGAGACACCCACAAATGTGTCATTGAGCAAGATACTTAACTCCTAGTTGCTCCTAGACGTGCAACCTCTGTCATATATAGCAATTGTAAGTGGATAAAGCTTCAGCTAAATGAATAAATGTACATGATTGCGTTCTATATTGATTTGTCCTCAGTCATATAACATGTGGAATTTGCCATATATCTGACTTACAGACATTACCTTGTGTACTTGCATGTAACAGACGTGCTGTATTTTTCATTATAAACTCTGGAATTAACCTTTTTTGCACAAAAGCTTGACTTTATTAAATACTTTTAGCATTGAACCTGGAAGTGTACAAAGCCTTCTTTTCATCATATACTCCTGCTCTGCAAAATGAAAAGAAATAACTGTAGAGCTTTCCTCTTCATATCCCTTTTTGCCACAAACGAAACTGACCACAACTAACGGTAGCTGCTGCATGACCTGCAAGTCACTACATTACCAATCTTCCATGCGCAGCAAATTAATCTGGCTCTGTGACTTTCTGGTGTGACCGGGCATTTAGAGAGGGATGTTCACACATCTGCTTAAGGTCACACGTCGGGCAAAAAGTAAATCATTAAGAGTTTGAGCAAACGGCAGATGCTGTAGTTTTTCTGGTGAGTACAGTCTCTTTTAGGGTTGAGGTTTATGACTCTGTCAAGGTTAGGATAAGCCTTCAGGGAATTAATATGAATCGAAAGTGAAAGAGAAAGAATCTGCTTGACTTTGTCTTGGGGACAAACTGTTCTCTTTTCTGTTATTTTCCACATCTGATGTCCCATTTCATCTCTTTAAATCACAACAGATTATTTTTCCATTATGAAAAACCCCCCAGAGAGATTTCCTTTTATGTAAGAGGTGATTTGTTCAAGCTCTACACAACATTACACAATGCATCATCATTAAACAACAGCCTGAACACACCAAAACATCACTATCAGTCCATTACTATGATTTTGGCCTCTAGTTAAAGGACTCAAATGTTTGTGAGTCTATTCCAGAAATCTCTAAATCTTATTGATGAAGTTAAATTTGACTTCAGATCGGACACTGGAAGCTCATGTGGAGGTGTAGTAATTTCAGCGGAACTGTTGCAGTTTAGCAAAAGTTATTTAACAAGAATTGAGGAAGTAACATCAGAGACTTTCAGTTGAGAGACCAACCAAGGAACATTGAAACTGATTATATTTTAGGAAATAATGCACGTCACACACATTCCTGCCCAATGGTTTCACACTGGGAGGAAGGAGACTGCAAGCTAAACAATATACAAAACACTTAAAAAATCAACTAATGTTTTTGAGGAAGAAAATGCATTTAACACAT